TTTCAGTTCTAATGATCTTATGTAATTTGCTACTTAAATATCTATATGTGCAATCCTGTTTTATATAGCATTGCTATTTTTTCATATTTCCTAGTTTATTACTTTTGCTAGTTCTTGCAAATGTAAGCATAGTGGGACTACGTCTGTCTGAAATCTGAAATATTGATGAACCCTTGACAAGACACTGATTCTGATGGACAGTCCTTTCAGTCGTTGCTCATAGATAACAAATCACTGTTAGCCAAGTGTATGTAGGTTTCCGTTAGTTGTCACTTTAGCCTAAACTGGCTATATAGGTAGATAGGAAATGAATCTATGGATATGGATTTGTATATCCTTGTATATACAGTATTAGTGTACTTAATGATGTATATTTTCATTTGGGAGTAAAATTGAATGATGAGACAGTTTGTTAAACACATTCAGATGTTGCTTGGCTGGAAAACAGTGTTTACATATGTACAACGTTTTAATTTGTTCTCTTATTTAGATTACCAAAACCATCCAGCTAATGCTGCAGTTCAAAGTGATTAGAGAGAAATTAGCCACAGTGACCTTAAATAATTACAGTTGTTTACGTTTCTGTTTTAATGGGAGCATAATTACACCCAGTGCTTCTTTTTAAAGTTTTTAAAAGACTTGTTTTAATCAGAAAACAAACACCAGTAAAAACAAATACGCTTGAAGGAAGTCATTTGTTTTAACATGTTATATTTTAATTTCTGCAGAGACAAAAATGACAAGCAATTTATTTACACAAACCTGTACAAAAGCAAATTAAATTATGTAAAATATCTCATAAATAGAAGTGGACTTGCGTTCAATACACTTTGCCATGTTCAGCTAAGCTGCGTGCATAGTGACTCATATTAAACGATGATAAATTTGTTCCTCAATTTCTATATCAACATCCAAGTCGCAGGACAAATAGTAATGGTTAATATTACAAATCTCATTACACACTGTGAATGCTATATGAATAGAGGTGAGCACAGACTGAACACACACCCCGGGCAGCAACAGGATACAGACATTTTGATGGCAAGTGTTGCGTATAAAAAAAAGAATCTGACATAACGCCGTCTGCTGCTGTTCAGATTTCTGCAGCGTTTACCTCAGTGACAATCAGGAAAGGAGAAATTCGCTGCCAGTGCCTGGAAATGAACTTGTGTTCAGCCGAAAGCACAAACATGCGGCACGTTTTCTGCCATTGCCTCTTTTTGTCTGAGTCTTTATTCTCACTTCATCTGATCTGGAAAATTCAAAGCATCACCTTGCAGTATCGTAGCAAACATCATACCCCGCTCATGTGTTGGACGGGGTTTCATCATCTACTGATATGCATATACTGTAAATCTGTGTGTGTGTGTGTGTGTGTGTGTGTGAGTGTGTTGTTGTGTTGCTTGGCACATCCTGAGGTGTGTGCTCTGTCAGCTACTCTCCTTTGCAGCCCCCCCTCCCCCCTCCCCCCTCCCCGCACTTCCACTCTTCCCTAGTAAACTGTCACATTAGCATTTTTATCTCTAGGCTCCCTCAACTCTGAGCAGTCAAATGTCTCCAAGCAATTTTTTCACACCACCCACCCTCCTCCGATCCTTCTACGCTTCTATATTCAGTCCTAGAGCTTGTTTCATGCACAAAGTAGGTTACTTGACCTCTGATGTCATACATGTACATGAGTGGAACACGACAAAAAAAGAAATTCCTTTATATCATTATTATTACTACCAACAAGCAACTTTTGAATGCACCTGTACTCATTCAGTAATGCACTAAGCTAGGAATGGATACTTCATTGAACCCCAGTGTGCATCAGCCACTTGAAAATATTGGACCTATAGGCTCACTGACATTTGACTGGTCGTCCTCCCAGAAGCCTCTGACATCACGGGAATTCACCCGAAGATATGCAAATGTATTTTCAGTCCGTTCTCAAATTGCAACCCTGTCTACTTCAGTCAGCGTGTCATTGTTTATGCACCATTCCAAACCAACATTTCATCATACCGATTGGTATAAAAAGGCACAATTGCATATTTGCATTCACTCTAGTATGTTTTTTTTGTTTGTTTTGTTTTTTCAGAAGCACTCTAAATATACAAAGTGGCACCAGATAAAGAAAAAAAGTCAAACACATAGTACATTGTCGTGATCATTTCCATGGTTTTTGACCGTTATCGTGTAACAAATCAATGTGTGGGATTACAAAAGAAAAATACAAAGTAAAAAATTGCAGTTGTCATGGTAAAAAGTTGATAGAAATGAGACATATGAAAGATTTTGTAGTGATGTGAGAGACAACGGTGAACTTAACTATAAAAAATGTAAATAAAATCATGTATGTGGAGTCTTAACTGTACTAAGTTGTCTAGTTAATGGCTAATGTCTCTTCAGGTATAACAAAAGCAAGCAACAAGGTGGATTTCCATGTTCACAGCGATAACATTTTTTTGTACATTTTGTTTTACAGTTTTTTTTTCTTCTTCCTTCTCAGTAAGTGAAGTAAGTTCCCATTAAACGTGCAGTAAAAAGTAAATATTCATGTATACAGTTGATAAGTATAGGAGCACTTTCTTTCGAACGACGAGTACTACTTACAGACTATAGACGGCCGGAACGCTGGAAAAGGCAGCTCCGATTAAACCAAAGGGGTTTTTGCTAGCATACAAAAAGTTCCATTGCATCTGATATTCTTTTGCTTTATTACAGTCGTGAGAGTTAACGCCTCTGCAGCAGCGAGAACAGAAAAAAAACCACCGTGGACAAGGAGGCACAACAATCTCAACAGTTCAGTGTATGTGTGTGAGTGGTCATCAAGCGTGGATGTAAAAGACACCACAATCGTATCTTTCTAACTCAAGCCTTCAATCAAAAGGAAATCCCTCGTGTAATGTTAACTGAAAGCAAACTTCTCCCAGAAAGCAATTTCTGTGTGTTAATGGGGGGGGGGGGTGCTTCATCCTGCAAGAGAAGCTTTGGTTTCCCCTTTGACACCATTTTTTTTCCCCGGCCTCAGTCTGTACCCCAACAAACGTCCTGGTGCGATATCTACACGTTTTTTTTGGATTGTTCTCCATTGAGCTGATTCTTACATTCGTGCTCAAAGACGCCATCATCATGTTCTGTGGAAAGCAACATCTACGAGTTCCAGAAAAAGGGACTCTGGGTCGGCCGAATGCGGGGTCGACTTACGGAGCAGTAGTGAAAGGAAGTTGATGCTGGTTGGTCACGTGTACATTATGATATTTATTGCTCAGTCTATCACACAACAACAACAAAAAAAAAGGAATGACAGTAAAAAGCTGTCCTTGCAGCTGTTGTAGGACCAGCTTGGCCATGTCTACGTCCTCCTAAGCCTATAATTGGTCTACAGTATACACTGGCTATGGCCTATACACACATACTAAACAGCACATCGCATATCTGGCCCCAACACTCATACATTTTCAATTGCGCCGCCGTAATTTTAATCTCGGCATGCCACAAACTGTGCTTACCCAGGATTTTCCGTCAGTGCCACTGGCCTCAGTTGAATGAATTCACTTCTCTGTGTGTTTGAGGGAAAACAGAGTAGGTGTGTTGACACACACACTCACACACACACACACACACATGCTTTTTCTAGCCAGAGCGATGACAAGTCATGGCTCTATAGATCTTGCATCTCTTATAATAGGGGTTTGTTTGCCAATTAAAAGACAGAACGAGAGACTGAGGGAAGGTATCGAGACGAAAAAGGGGAATGAGAGCAGTTAGCGTTGTTGCAATGGTTGCATGTTTATGTACAATGAGTGACTTGTCACCTGTGAGGAGTGTTCACACTGGTAAATCAGAAAGAGTCATCATGTGTTCATCATAGTTCCAGTGGGGTTGTCGTCTGAAACAAAGGGTTGTTGCAGCAAATTCCAATGTCTCCAATATCCATCCATTTCAAGGAGGGACTGAAATAAATGTCATTTTCTGGGCTGAGTAATTAAAGCTTAGTCTTTTCTGTCCTTGTCAGATTTGAATTGTCTGCATATTTAGCAACTTTTCAGTCAAGTTGACTGATCATCATCATGTCCATCATGTATTGTCGCAGCCACAGAAGCCGGAGCATTGCCCAGACTCGAAATAAAAAAAAGGCATAACCAGACACGTTGAAGTCAAAATAGTTCACATGTACACCTTTGTTTCTATAAAATTCATGAACACAAAAAAAGAAATTGTCTTCTATATAGTGTCATCTTCAGGGAACAGGGCCAGGGACCAGGGGGTAATGCATGCATGTACTGAATATGTAAAATGAGTTGATTATTGTACAGATTGACCGTCAGGCAGCAGATCGTTTCCCAAGAGCCCGACTCACCAGTAGAACAGCCTCATCCCAAGTCTTAACAGTGCCTGCAAACACTTCTTCCTCCTCCTCCTCTTTTCTTCCAGGTCATAGCTGGAATAAGCACTTTAAAAGTTACTTTGTTTTGTCTATCCACTTAGGTTTGTCGTTAAGGAGCTGTTGTAAAAGTCTTTGGAGAAAGTTAAATCCTACCTTGTGCAGGACAATGGAGGCTAAAAGCTTCAAGAGCTGTAATGGTGGTTGGTAAGCAGCTATGCTTAGTGTTGTATTTTAATGCCATACATGGTAGCACAGCAGGTGTGTTTAGCCCAACCAGCTCACAGGTACACCTCCCGCCGCGTCAGAGTGCCACAGGATGTGGGCTTGTACTCCCCAGTAGGTGCCAAGGGGATCTCCTCGGTGGGGTGGCCCAGCACCTCCTCTCCGCCTCCCGGGGAGCCATAAGAAGGTGAGCCAAAGGCCTCGTAGGAAGAGGAGGAGGTGGCCATCTTCTTGTTGAGCAGGTTGCGATTACGGTCGCCCATCATGTGAGCGACGGTGGGGTCTCCGTTGGCCATGGCGGCCATGGCGAGGGTCTCTTGGCTGCCGGGCTGCTCGGCGCTGCTGCTGCCGCTGCCAGTGCCGCTCATGAAAGTGGAAAGCTTTGGTTGTTGGGGGGTGGTGGTTGACTTGGATGGCCGTCGTTCAGGCGACGTGCGCACAGGCATCCAGCAGGAGTCCGAGTGGCCATACTCGTCACATTCCCGAGTGCACTTGCCAGTCATGGCTACGTCAGGCAAGGGCCGGGAGTCTAGAAGAAGCAGAAACGAGAAAAACAAAGTAAATTATATTGTTTATTTCTCTAATTTGAGATATTTAATGAAAAACTAACACTTTTGACTAAAAGAAAGAATCCTAACGCTAAGTGTTTGTTGTGATATGTGTTATGTTTTATGAATTCCATCATTAGATGCGTGAATCTGAAGTTTCTTCCTAATGAGGTCTTCACCGCATCTGAATGTTAATGGAGAAGGTTAAAAAAAATATAAAAACTGGTCACAATGGTTACCAGGCACCTGTTGTTCAGTTCTGAATTTTATCACTAGTGAGTGGCATAAAGATTTTGCAGATAAAATTTATTTTCATGCAGAACCCAAACCACATGACAGCACCGGTAACAGAAAACAGCAATGAAAAGGAGAGTCCACTGGCTACGGCAACAGCCTCAAACTAAAAAACAGTGGAGTGAATCAGAGTTGAAATAATGTCATGCTTCAAAACGTGTTTGTGCTGAGCGGGGAGAGGGAAGGGAGGGGAGGGGAGGGCCAGCGATGGAGAGAGTAGGGAGGAGGTCAGCTTGTGTTTTTCAGTTTGCCCTCATCTAAAATTTAAGTCGCACAATTAGGCCATAATGTGTGTGTGTGTGTGTGTGTGTTTGTGAGATGATTGCAGCAAAAACACCCTATTTTCTTATCTGGTGACTGACAGACGGCAATCATATTCTGATCTAAGTAGCTTAATAGCTTTGTGTGGCTCAAGCGCCCTGATATCCTCTTAAATCCACTAATAGGGGTCTTAACCAATTACCTCGCTGGGAGCTGGACTTAGATTAAACTACGTCTCTTGTATTATTGTGGAAAGCAAATTAGATGCTTACAAATGCTACAACAGGACAGTGATAGTTGCCCTACACTGTCAATGCAATGTGGGGAAAGATCATTACTCCAAATCCAGAAAAACAAGACTTGACGAACTGAGGCAAAAAACTACAGCAGGAGGGAAAGGTGGAGTCTGCGCCACACAGTGCCAGATTTAAAAGAAAGAGTGCCAATGTTATAGAGATGCTATGTTAGATGTAATATATTCATGACCTGATGCGAGGTATGGAAAAACCAAAATCAAGCAGAAGCGAGGGTGAGTGCAAACCAAGCCAAGCATGCCTTTGCCCAAAAATAAATAAAAACAAGAGTTTGGACCATGGCTTACTTTTAATGCTCTTTTTCTCCTGTAAAAGAAAAAAATAGAAATAGAAATCACTCTTTTATGTCTTGCACTTATATGCAATAATATGTATATATATTTAATACTGTATGAGCAAACTTTGAGCAGCATTGAAACTATGACTAAAAGTCACGTTGACAAGAGCACCAAAAAAATGCAGACACATGACTGAGGACGCGATGCAGCCGAGACGAGGACAGCAAAGAAAGAGGAGACAAAACGAAATGAGGGTTTTTGAAAGCCCCTAACAGGTTTGTGTTTTTAATCAACAAATTAATCACTTGTTTCACTCTGAATGCCTCTCAGCAAAACATTCAATATTACTTCAAGAAGTGCCATTCATACGCTGCTAGAATTCCTGTTTCTGCTAAATACTTTGCGGAATCCATTGTTTTTGCTGGTGTCACAAATTACCTTTGTAAAGCATCCGATAATGATTGTCAGTCAATGTATAGCCAGTGCCTCAGGGAGCAACTTGCGCTCGATGGGAAAAATCAAATAACTTTTTGTCATTATCGAGCCAAACAACTGCACAGTTGTGTTTAATGAAATGTAAATAGCTGAATGAAGGCAAGGAAAGGCAAGAAAAACAATAGCAATCGAGAGGTGTAATGGCAAACGGTTAACATGCCAGCTGATGTGGTGAAAATGATACCGGCAAGGAAAACAAGCACCTCCTTCCCTTTCTCTCCATCGCAGCATCACAAACGCAGCCGTCAAGGAGACAAGCGGATACCAGGTACTGATTGTCTTGCTCATTTACACCTACGATTGAGCCATCGGGCAACCCCTCTGGAGGCCGGGGCGGCAACCCGCTCCTGGATGCTCATCCAATTGCCTCGATGCCGCCGCCACATTCAGACTAACTGGTAAAAAATCAGCAGGGAGGACCCCTTGCTTCCACCAGCTCTCGCAGGGTAGGCAGCCAACCTTCAGCATCGCATCTCCACTGTGTTGTTACACGCTGAAAGGAGGCTGATTATTTCCAAGCCACGGTCCACTGACTCTGCAGGCTTGCTCGGAATGAAGACGTTTCCCACTGAGCTAATGAATTGAGTTGCTATATCAAGGCAAAAAAAAAAAAAGCTTTCTTTTCCGTTTTTGAAAGTGTCACCTCCCTGTGAGGTTGGGTTATCAATATGAGAACTTTTAAAACCACTTAAACCATGTGCCCTTAAGCCGGGATGGGGTTTTTGGTGATGGTAAATTCATTTCAATGCAATCCGCTCAACATCAAAAGATTATTTTAGAAAGAAATGCAAAATATCATGACTCATCCTTTGACCTTCAAAGTTTACTCAGAGTAAAAGCAGACACAATTACAATATGGCACAAAACAATCAACTTTAATTGTTTCAAACATTTCTATGGAGACGACACGCACCGCTGCTTCCAAACGTACCCATAAGCCCTTTCAAGACTCCCATCTTCAAAGAGAAGCCCTCAGAGCACACGCAGCACAGTAGCAGGCTTTTGTTACTTATTCACAAACAACCCGCAAGCCCTAACTATTAACCACAACATAACATAATACAAGTGGGTCACTCCGCTGTGTTAGAAAGCCTTCCTGCAACACTGAGAGTTGAACAAGGAGGCCTCTCCATCCCCTGGGGGGGGGGAGCTCAGGCTTTTGTTATTTGGGGATCTGGAGCCAAGAGAACGGTGACACAGTCTGGGTGCCATGAGCAGGTGCCCGCTATCTTTGTGCCGTGCTCATAATTCAAACCATTAGCCTCTTTTACATAACTCAAAAGTTAATTCCAGAGGAGCAAACAAAGGGATGTTGTTGGTGGATCAGATTGATTGGCAGTTGAGTTAGAGGCATAATGTACAAGCGGAGGGTTTTTACAGAGATGTAATTCCTCCTGGAGAAGAGTCACGTGCTGCTGAGGTGGTGATTACGCCACCGTGAGGCAGTGCTCCGAGTTATTTGCGCCTCACACCGAGTGTGTTTGCTGGTTTTTCTTTAAAGACTCAGTATAACGAAGACTTCTTTCTTCATTTGTGCGAGGAAACAAGCTGAAAGTGGGACAGTAGCTGCACGGCTTGAGCTGCGGCTTTCCTTAGCTGGCTCTACTCAGCCACCCTATCAGCTGACTCGCTTACACTGTGGGATTTTTCAAAGAGCCTCCACTGCCGGGATACAGTAGCGATTCGATGCGGTTTCTTTATCCCTCGCTAAGAAGTTGCAGCGGTAGGGAAAAAATGAAGGGGTTAGACTATCAACGCTGCTGGGCATATGCAAGCTAATGTCTGTAGCGTGGGCATCTCTGAGCAACACAGTTTAGTGTGTTTGTTTGTGTCGTTGTACTGCACGAAGTGCTTCCACTGTAGCATGTCAGCAAGGCCACTTGCCAGCCTGCGTTCGTCTATGCGACCAACTCTTTCACTTCTGATCTGTCTCGTCCTCTGCACTATCGCTCTGTCCTTCTCTTTTTCTCTCTATAATTCGCTACGAACCAGTGAAACACAGACTGAAGCTCCGTAACCTTTTGGCCCTCTCTTTGCCGGCCAGCGGATTCAACCCAAACAGCTGAGGCGTTGGGAGGAAGGGATGGAGGGAGCGGCAGAGAGAGAGAGAGAAAAAAACAATCAGAAGACAAAGAGAGAAGGGGAAACATGAGGGAGAGGATGAAGACAGGGATGATGTAGAGAGGGATGGAGAGAGGGAGAATGTGTGAGCTGAGTATAGCAGGGTCAGGGCCTGGGAGAAGGGAAACAGCAGATTGAGTGAAGAAGACAGCATGGCTGCCTCTGGGCCGTCACAGGCCAAACACACTGCCAAAGAGAGCAGTGGAGAGGAGAGTCGGGAAGACAGGACGGGCGGAGGAAGAATTGAGGACATTCACAAAGACAGGGGAAGGAGAGAGAAGAGTACAAGAGGAGAAAGAGCGATGATATAAGGAACTTTGATAACAGAAGATGTACTGTACTGTAAATAACTCCAACATGTGTTCCCAGGTCAGCACGACTCCTGTCCCACATGCTCACATTAACCTATCAATCCAAAGACCTCGATTTAGCCTCGTTAAGGTCTCAATTTATTTTCTTTAACAGTATGTCCTGTGTCCTGGGAAATGCCAGACGCCACTCACCTCTCCATTAGTTCAATCTAATCTACTTCGATCACATTCTGCACATTAAGAAAACTAAAAGAACACACTTTAACCTCCAAATGTCATTTACACCCAGCCGCACGGTTCCAATTTAGAGTTGAACATCTTATTCTTGATCAAGATGGAGAAAGTTTTCAAGGCTCGGATGACGTGAACGGCGAGTGAAGCTTTGAAATGAGCTTGTGATTGCCTTGAGCCCCTTGTCAATGACTCCACTGTACGGACAGATCTATTTAGCATGGCGGAGCAATCAGTGCGGAGATGACGGAGTGAATCGCTGGGTGTCATACAGATTACTCCACACAGCTGAGGGGGAGAAGATGAAACATTTATCCCCAGGAAAAAAAACAGGAGGAAGAAAGGAGTCAAATACGAAGAGACAGAAACAAGAGGGGAATGAGATCGGGATGAAACTTGAACCAAAAACAAAACCAAAGAGAGCAAGTTCTTCTCTCTGCAGTCATGTTTCTTGTTTCCCCCTTCTACTCATTCGCACCTATAATAAGGTCCCATTTAATTAGGTGAAACTTGCCGGCAAATTAAGGCACGAAAGTGATTCTCCCCGTGTTCGTCTGTCTCGTGTTTCAGGGCCCCTGTGGCAACGCCTCGCAGCCGAGATGTCCTCAGCATCACAGACAGACACTGAATACATGCGCACGAATGAATGTGGCCGTAGGGAAGGAGAGGAACGAAA